CTCTGAGCCTCACTTCGCCACCTGGTACCAAACGGACTCCGCTCAGAAACGGGGTCCTGGAGCAGAAAGAAATGTTTGTGTTTGTGTCTGACTACTCGCCCTTCGTGTGCCGTTTCTCACATTTCCTTCATGGGCAGATAGGAAATATTAGTTTAATCTGCAACAAGCATTGCTTCTAAGGCAGGAATCACAAGTGCGAATATGGGAGAGTTTTCGTGCACGTGCAGCCTTCACATTTATCTGGGAGAAGGTCACATCAAAGATGAGCACGTTATGTTTGAACTGGAAGGTGGAGAGAATTATCTGGCCCAAATGATCCAGTGTCTGATCACTTTGATATTTTTAATATAAATATCCTCAGGCTATTTCCCTGAGGCAGGGAAATACCATTATTCCCATTTTGAGTGAAAGAGAGGGGAAGTTAAGTGACTTGCCTAAAATGATATAGGGAGCATGTGGCAGAAAGAGGTACTGAATCCTTGGCCAACACCAAGCCACCTTTCTGAGCTTTTAGAGACAACAGCTATATCCAGCCCCCTTTATTTATTTCTCTAGAAACCATCATGCCAAAACCTCTGCTAAATTAGAGAGTGAGACTGAAGGAAAGCTTTCAGTGGATTGCTTTTTTCCATAAATGGAAATATCACAAATCATTCTGGGAAAACAGGTCTTTCTGTTCTCTTCCCTCTTTGTCTGCTTCTCTCCTTTTGGACGTCTTTTCCTCTGTCTCTGGCTCCCAGTTTTCAGATGTACAGTCTTGATCATTTGAAAGTGTTCCTACCCCGCGGGAAGGGAGTAGCTTTTCATTCTTTGGAACTCACTATTTTGCAATGGATCGCACTCTGCAGGCAAGCAAGACTTCTGAAAGAGACAGGGTTGCACAAAGCAGCACAAAAATAAACCATATCACCAATACCAAGCCAGGTTCTCATCGGGGGTAACTCGGTCTGACGCTCCCTGCAGCAGAGCTGACAGCTGCCGGCTGTCCTGGATAGACAGCGTGTACCCAAACGATGACCTGGCCACATCAGAGGAGGTCTCTCTGAGGGCTGAACGTGCAGTCAACGTTGATTTTTGTGCATCTTAGACATCAGTCCCTCTTGGCAGTACAACAGGTTGTCTCTGCTCTTAATACCCTGGCTGGGCAACTTCTACCCTGGTCCAGGCACTGGGGAGGTGCCTGTTGCACCAATCCCAGCTCCTCCAGCCTGTGTTCTCCAAAGCTTGGGCACGCAACAAGCAAACGGTGGGGATCTCATCTAAGGACTCCCAGTAACACCAAGGCGACTTGGGAGCTGCTCTGTGATTTTCCAGGGACCTAAGCATTCCCAACCTTTCTGTCCCGAGACAAGTCAGAGCTCCTCCCTGCCTCCTTTTCAGCCTGCACATCCCAAAGAGGCTGCTCAAGGGGTGCCCGCACTGATACGCCAGTGAGAGGGAGGTGGCTGCAATGAATAAGAGAGACCAAGAAAGAGGAGGAAGATCTAGTGGGTGAGCACAAGAAAGAGGATGAGGGGAAAGCCCAAACTGCGCTAGGAGAGCTGCAGAGAGGAGGTGGAAGTGCGTGGCTCAAGTTTCTCAGAGAGATGTGCTGGAGAAGCCAGAGAACTCAACACCTGCCTGTTTCAGGGTTCGCAGCGTGAAACAGCTCAAGTCGGGAAGGGCAAAGGGACACAATTACAGAGGAGACATTACTCTTACTCCCTTGAGGGTCTCTCGGAGCCCTGCACGCTCTCCCAAATAATGATTTGCTCTTGCTCAGGCATTCAGGAGAGGAGTGTTAACTACAGGGTGGCCCATGGTTCTTCCCTCCCTGGCTCCGCAAACCGCACGTGCGGCACGAGAAGAGGCTGTTGTGTCAGACCTCAGCAGCATTGCTGAGCTGCTCCGTCCCCCTCCCCGCTTCCACCAGCACAGGTGCCAGCGAGGCTGCTGCACTGTCTCAGCAGGCCACAGATGTCCGCCAGAGAATTGCCAAGTGACCTTGGCGCAAGAAGTGACACCGAGGCCTTCCCTGCACGGAGCAGGTTTCTGAACCACCACCATCCGTTGTTCACCTCCTCCGTGCTCGTGCACAGCTGCTGGCACCAGCGCACCCACACCATGCCCTCTTTCACGCATCCCCGTGCGGCATGAGGCAGAGGACTGCTGTCACCCCCGTTTCACAGGGTGGGACTCTAAGGCAGAGAGAAGAAGCGGTTTTAACAGCATGCCTGTGGCGGAGAAAAAACTGAGTCTTGTTCTCTTATATTCCCATTTAGCGCATTAATGACCTAAATTCTGCATCCTTTCCCCATCCATCGCCCAGAGGAGCTAGGAGGCATTGGAGGAGAGGCTTTGGTAGCACAGGCGAATAGTCAGCACCCGGAGTCACGGTGCTCTGTGCTGAGCACAGACAAAGCCAGGGCTAAAGTGGGACCAATGCCACCCACCTGCCCTCATGCACCCCGGCAGCGTTGAGCCAGGGAGGAGGATCACCCTGGCGCAGGGCATCAGCCTGCGGTGAAGGGCAGCTCCTCAATGCCGCAGCATTTTAAGCAAGCCAAGGCCGGACACCCCAATGGCCAAGCACCCTGCGGAGCTAGACCAGCAAGGCCCTTTGGATGCTCAGCACCAGAAGCAGATTTTCAAAGAGCCTGTGCATCCCCTCACCCTGCCTAAGAGGCTGAACCTCCAACTAGCTATCCCACACAAGTCCATATAAAAGACACCCTGTATAAGATGCAGCATCTTTCCCAAGCAGCTTGATTCTTCACAGAGGAGTTAATCAGGCTCACATACAGCAAGAAACGGAGTGGAGGAGCGGGAGAAGAGAGGAAGCAGGGAAATGATGGCACAGAGCGAGGCGGGTTCCAGATGCGTTACCTCTTCCCTCCCTGGCTGATTCCAAGTGGGGGAGCTCTGGCTGTGCACCAGAAGCCTGGCCTGGGAGGTACACCCAGGCTCTGCCGGCTCTGACCGCTCCCCCAGCGTGTACGGGCAGGAGGCAAGCAACGTTCAGGGTCTGCTGGGCAAGGAGCTGAAATCTGAGGCTGGAGACTTCCCCAGTGCCTTGAAGAGCAGCCGTGTTCACATGCACTGTACAGCAGCCGAAGGACCAGGGTGATGAGCTGCTTGTCTGTTGCGGGCAGATAGCCCCAGGCAGTCAGGGGCAAGCAAGGGAAAGGACCTTCTTCATGCTATATCTGCCTTTCTCACCGGTATTTAAGTGGGCAAGTAGCAGGGTGGGAGTGTGGCAAGGTAATTTGCTTGGCTATGAAGCTTTCCTTCCAGAAAAGCCATGGCTGAGAAGCAGACACTTCTTGAACAAGGTAACTAGATTGAGGATGAGTGGTTAATAACCTCCTTTCATAACCCACAGTTTCAATGTGGGAATGACACTTCAGAGGTACATGGAGAGGCTTTGTTCCCACTTTCTTCTCCTGTTACTTACCTCTTACATGCACACACGCTCCTCTCTGCTATCTCTAGCCTCTTCATGAGAGCTCTTTGAACTAGCAGTTAAAGGCAATTAAGTATTTCAGAAGCATCAGACACAATCTGACTGGATGCAGAAAGAGCCGAGCTTGGAGCTGACCTAGAGAAACCCGAGCTTGGAGCTGACCTAGAGGAACTCACCTGCCTGCCTTCTATGGCTATTTACTCAGCACTGCCTCTCAAAGCATCCCAAACCTTGCTCCAGCAAGGCATGGCCTTGAGAAGAAACTCAGGGGGAATCCTTTGAGCTTGGTCCTTCCTCCAGCTATTCCCAAATACCTGAAAGATCATTGGAATTCATCTGGAATAAACCTTCCAAGACATGACTCAGGGACCTGACATGGTCCCTGCTGGTCTCAACCTGGGCAGGGTCAGTCTGGAAGAGCTCTGAGTTCCTCACAAGCAACTCTTCCCAGAGGCAACAACCACAATTGTGGCGGCTTCATTGTCCTCTCGCCCTGTGCACCCAGTTGATCCAGCAGCTGGACTCAGGGCCAGGGTGGCAGAGGGCTTTCCCAGGTTGCCACAGCATTTGTCATCCTCCAGTCTTGGGCTCCAAACTCTTCTGCTGAGGGATCAGCCAGTCTGAGCCACTTTGGTGGATGGCCTCTGGTGAGGGGCCCATGGGATCACCATGCCTATCTATGCACCTCATGCAGACACTGCATTCCTCCCTTCTGGACAAATGATGTCCATCAGTTCTGTGTTAATGGCCAGCCAGTGAAAGAGTCCAGACCGAAATGTAAGGGAAGGTGGAAGAAAAAGATTGAGGGAACCCCAGGAGGTATAATGAAATTGCCTTCCACATGGTCACTCCTGTACAGGCACGAACAACCCAATCCTTTGAGACACTAGTCAACCAGTGGTGACGATGACGTGGCTTGAGTATTGCTTCTCTGGAGTAGTATTCCTGATTTCAAGAGGAGAGAGACATGAATAAGGAAAGTAAGAGCCTGGTAGACCACCAAGATGATAAAAGACTGGGAAGATGCTGCTGGCCTCCTGCTGGGATGGCTTTGTGGAGTGTGTGTGAAAAAGGGTGCCCCATGACTAAAGCTGACAGAAGGCTCTGTACGTAAACCAGTCAGACGAAACTGAGGGTGATGAGCCCAGCTTCTCTCATTTATAGTGGAAGATTTTGCTCCTCCAGTGCAAAGGGTGTTTTGCTGCTGAGCTGCATACACACACTTGCACCAAGCTTCTTGTAGCTTTAGTCTGTGAGAGGACACAAGAGGAGACCTGAAAAAGGTATGCAAAAATAAGCAGGCCTACAGAGAAAATAGATTAAAAGCTTTTGTTCTTCTCGTACTGCACCAGAACAACAGAACGTATCCTGCCCATGAAATGAATAGGCAGAAAATTCACAGCTGAGAGAAACAAAATGCTTTTCCTCCCAAACCTGACTGCCCCACCGTACGCAGCACTGCTGGTATCTGCTGAGACCACGCCGGGTGAAACTCCAGCACCCACAGTTACACTGGTCGACGCTGGGGGAAGGGAGCCTGACCCTCGTGCTTCGCAACATGACCCAGTCTCTGTCTCCTCTTCCCATCCCACCTCCCTCAGAGGCGGGCAGTGCTCTCCTGTCCATCTGCAGCAGGAGTCGTACCTGCTGGCCAAAGCCTCCGGTGCTCTCCACCATGGAGTGCGAGGCGCTGGGCTGGGTGGGCATCAGGCTGGATCCAGATGGTGAATCCCATGTTCCTGTGCAAATAAGAGGGAGATATGAGCACGAGCATGTGAGGAGAGTACCTGGGCACTTAACGGGCATCATACATGAGCTGCCTGGGAGGAAGAGGGCACAGAGGGTGACACAGAGGGCAGCTGTTCCTGCGAGGCAGGTTTTGGTGTTCTCATTTGCTCTTTTTTTTCTTTTGTTCCCTAGGGAATTTTAAAGGTCTGTGTAAGCAAATCGATCACTTCCCTGAGGATGCAGATTATGAAGCCGATACAGCAGAATATTTCCTCCGTAAGTCTGCAGACTCTTCTTGCAGTGGCTCGTAGGTGCGAGCGTCGGGTGCCTTTTGCTTTCTGAAGGTAGGGTGGTGGAGATGCTGGGCCCTGTGAGGCTCAGCAGGCCAGAGGATGTAACCTCACAGCCTCCCCACCCCCAAAAACGCTGCGCTCTCACCTCCCTGGGGCCCTGCCCATGAGACAGTGCAAGTTCTGAACTCATAGTTACAAACAGTGTCAATTTTTTTTTAATAGCAATTGATTACGATATAAATCCAGAGTCTTTAATTCAAATCCATCGGAGAGCTGCTGAGCAGGCTTAAGGTCAGGACTGGGGTAGCTGTGGCAGTGTGAGTGTGTGTGAGTGTGTCCTCCTAAAGCAGAGGATGTTTATATTTCCTTACCTGATACTCTAGTTGCATCAGATTTAAGAAATTAGCTGGATCGTGTCCGAGGAGCACCTATTTCTGTCTTCACCTTCCCCTAAACACTGCTTTGTGCATGGGGACAGGGAAGGCAGCCTGGTCGGCAGGGCAGATCCTCATCATGTGTTGCCCTCCCCGATCACAAGCGAGCATTTCCACCTACCCCAGAAGCAGGAGCTTGCTGCTCCTTTAGCACAGCTGAACAGGGATCACTCATCCTCTTAGGTCCCCACCTTGCTATCCCGCCCTCTCTCCACAAGCCCAGTGCCTTTTGACATCAGGAGAAGAGATCTTCTTCCTTCAGAAATCTGAGATAAGAGCTTTTGACCTCCCAAGGTTAAGCATCAGAGGTCTCCAAAGGCAGGGAGTCTTTCAGAATTGCTCGTTGTCATCCAGGCAGGTGTGCTCCAAGCCAGATGTGGAGACCCAGCCCTGCGGCAGAGATGAGAGAGATAATTTAGGCTCTGTGAAGCTCATTTGTATGTGAAAAGAGGCAGATCTTATGCTGCTTCCTCTCGGTTTCCCAAACAGTTCTTCATCCACTGTAAATTGTAAATAACCCAGGGAGATTGCTTCTTTCAGATGCCTTTCTGCAGCGTCAGTCCCTTAATCGGTTCGTGGTCCCTGAAAGGCAGAGCTGAAGACCGGGGTTTGATCTGGTTTGGCACAGCGACTGTGCAGGCTGCCCCTGGGGGCGAACCAGCTCTTGCCGAGTTGTTGGAGAGAGCGAGGAAGCTGCTTGCAGTATCAGCTGCACTTCAGAAAGAAGAGTTGGGGGAAGGGGGCAAGGGTGGGTCTGTTCCCTCTGAGGGAACAAGATCTGAAGACAAAAATTGGCCCAACTCAGGACCTGACGGTGTCCCCAGGGTAGAGCCCTTTTTAAGAAAGAACTAGGTTCAAAGAGGGATTTGGCAATTCAATAAAGGATTACTTGGGTTACTCCTGAGGAAAGTGGGATTTCTGCTGGCTTAGACCTGACTGGAGAGGGACCCCACTGAACAGCTCCTTCCCAGGACTTCTGCCAAACTGCAGTCCCTGGGCTCTCTGCATGGGCGATGCCTCGCAGTACTGGCAAGAACATCTAGAAAGTTGTTTATTAGTATCAGACAAAGCGATTCTCTCACTCAGGGGACCAGGACAATTGCGGGGCAGTGTCCACGGTCTGGCTAGAAGGGCTCAGACTTTATTTCTGCCAGCTGTCCACACAAAGTAGAAGCATCCCTGAGTTTCTCTGCCAGGAGACAGTTGAGTTAGAAACTAGACAAATGATCCAAACAACATCGTGAGTCCTCTTCTCTTTAGACCAAAGGCTCTAGACCCAGGAAGACCAGATAAGATTCTACCCCTCTCTTGCTGGCATGGTCCTCCTGTGGGGCAGAAAGCAGGGGCTGAGTGAGACTGCTGTCCTCCTCCAGCACGTAATGCCCACAGCTCCCCATGTCAGCCAACAACTTTGTGTTCTCCCAACATACACAAATTTCAGAATTAAGACCCAGATAATCCTGATGTGATCAGGATCAGGCTGCGGGACTGATCGAGCATCCCTCTAGAAACCCTCTGAAGAGAGGACGTCTGCTTGATGTTTGCTTACTGCCATTTAAGCTTCACATTGGTGAATCCCGCCTTGCTTTCCAGAAGCTATTAAGATGGTTATTATCACTATCCTGTTCCCTGAACCACAGCCAGGCAGAACTGGAAAGCAAGCAAGAGAGTTTTCTCCCTGCCTTTTGCATTCCCCATTGCTAGGCCACCCCCAAGGAGTCAACTGCTTGTGCCTGATAGGACCCTGATGCCAACAGGGTCTTTGAAGTATGGTCTCTGCTTGCTTAGGAAAAAGCCCTGTGTTTGCTTCAGCGGGGTTCATTCTTGCAGGCAAGGAGGGATTAGCTTTCATCTCCCCTTCCAGATCTTTGCTCCACAAGCAGAACTGCACCAGCCCATGTGATGCTTTTCTTTATCAAACAAGGCTTCATTTCACACCTTAACAGCTTATTTTATTTTGGGAAGGGAGGGGAGAAGGCCTTCCTAGTTAAAAAATACAAATATTGGCAACACGTACTCAGGCAGACCATTGGTACCTGCTGAAGAGCCCACAAGCAGTGTGTGCATGCGTGCCTGTGTGCGCGGGTGTTTGTATACACAGTCCTGGCCTTTCGCTGCGTGAATACGAGAGAGTCCCCCAGAAGCTTTGGGGTATGTTTTGCACACGCGTATGAGCGTATACGTGCATTTATGCCATTGCCCTCTGCTGGCTGAGCTCTTTCCGTATCGACCGATGGAGAGGGTGCGTGTGTGGGAGCTGGCACATCCGAACCCATCACTGCCCTCTGGAAGGAGCCCAGTCATTTAATCACTAGGATAAGCCTCGCGTTTCAGCATGCAAGGCTGGGACTTTCGCTTCTCAGTCCTCACGGCAGCCGCAGAGCAGTGCACAGCACCATGAGCTCCTTCCCAGCCCTGGAAAAAAAAAAAAAAAATTCTCCTTGAGATGCTTGTGCTCTTTCGGGAGGATTCGAGATTGAGCAGCTCCGTGGGAAGCATTTGGGTTGCCGCTCTTTGAAGAGCGGGCTGGAGTGGCAGTGCCCCGCAGGAGGAGAAGCTGGATGATGCCCAGGCTCCCTCTCCGGCCCGTAGTCCTCCTGAAAGTGGAGGAAAAGACAGTGTGAGGGGGAACAGGTAGCACGGACAGGCTCCCAGCTCAGCCGCCGGCCCTGCAGCCCCCTCCGCCTCCCCGCGCCAGGCCACCGGCTTCATGACAGTGTCAGCAGCCAGGGTGTGGGGGAGCTGCTTGGAACCACTCTCTTTTTCTGACACACGTTGTTTCTCTCTCCCTCCCTCTGTCCTCAACCACCTTTATCTCTCCTTGAATTACTCCCCAACCCCGCACGTTACCTTCTGTCTCTCCCCTTCACCCCTACTCACAAAACGTGCTCGTGTTCCCCCCATCCCCTCGCCCCGGCGCTGTTTCCGTGCTGTTTTCCTCTCTCTCACACCTGGGCTGTTCTTTCTGCCCCACTTCCTCTCTTCTCCGCAGGGGCTGTTAGAGCCTCTAGTATTTTCCCGATCCTGAGCGTGATTCTGCTTTTCATGGGTGGACTCTGCATTGCAGCCAGCGAGTTCTACAAAACCCGACACAACATCATCCTTAGTGCCGGCATCTTCTTCGTGTCTGCAGGTAAAGGGATGCACAGGGCCTGACGCCCTGGAGATGGGCTCCAAGGGGTGGGAGTCT